TCAACGGATAAAGAAGGGGTGAGACCAGAAAAGAAAGATACTTAAATGTAGAATCTCTGATTTTTTCAGTCTTTTAGGGGATCATGTTGTGGAACAAGAAAGCTGTTCTGATTAATGTTTGTTAAAGTAAGCCTGAGGTGGCTTTCTGTCCCTAAAGAGGAGGAAAACTGTGGCCAGAATTGAATGGCGACTGAAATGTGCTAATTTCTGTCTCTTCAGTAAGAGGGGAAAGGGAGTCCGTCAGCAGATACATGTGCCTTCTTGAGAGCTTCTTGAGGAAAGGAATATAGACAATGACGCTGTTTGGTTGTTTTTCAGACCAAATGCCAAAAGACGATACAAGAATCAGAAGTTTGGTTTTGGTGGGAAGAAGAAGGGCTCAAAGTGGAACACAAAGGAGAGTTTTAATGATGTATCCAGCTTCCGGTCAAAAGTGGCTCACAACAAAGGCCCAGGAAAATCAGGAAAAGGAGGAAAAAAAGCCCTCAATGTAAGTAAAATGTTGCATGCAAATGATCCTGGTTAGCTAGGAAGCCAGCCCTGGTCTGGGAGGGAGAGCTGATGGGTGCCTGCAGCATCTGGAAGTGACAGTGTCTGTCTGTGGGAGCTGAGCATAATTCAGTTGCAGACAGAGTTGAGCGTGGTGGTTCGGAGCAGGGAAATGAGTGGGGGAGTTAGCAAGTACTGTTTGTTGCTACCTGTGTCCCAAAACCTCCCTCTCCAGAGGTATCCTCTCCTTGGTATCCTCCCCAAGCTATAGAGCTAGCATAAAGATTGAGGACATGAAAATAAAGATCTGAATCTGTCCTTTTTTTGCAGAAGAGACCTGGAAAGAGAGCAAGGCAGAAAATGAAGAGCCGAGCACGATAGGAGGACCGTGCTCCCCGGTGGGGTTCCTGTGTTTCCGTGTGTTACAAGATGTGTTTCTGCTGTCATCAAGCAGCTAACCGTGGAGCAAGCTGGGTGCTTTCAAGTGGCAAGAAAAAAGTCAGTGGAAGCTGGTGCCTTATCACTAATTTCTTCTTACTGTCTGTTTCGTTGAAGGATTGTTTTCTACTTAAACCTTTGGTGTGTGAACGCATTAAATGGTTTGCACAGAACTATGTCTAATTCATGTTGAACTGTGTTATGAACAGTGGCTGAAGCCTGCCCTTTGTTCCCTTCATTCTGACAGCTTTTTCCACAGCTACTGTTGACATGTACTTGGTGAACCTTGAGTTCTGGGTCACGTTGCCAATGTCAGAATAAGAAGTCTGAAGCCTGTTGAGATGTTAAAGTGGTTTTTAGACTACTTATATAGATGGGTTTGGAAACAGCAGTGAGACAAATGCAGCAATCTTATAAATAGGTTTATTTCTGTAACTATTGCCAGGCTGCAGATCTGGACAGACTGAGTTTCTCTCTTCCCTTTCCTTGCTATCTTCTCTTGCCAGAAATGTACCAGACTTATCTAATAACAAGCAGGGCCTAACAGATTAGATGTCATTAACTGCTTCTAAGCTGTGTGGCTTGGCCACTCTACAACTTCAGGTTCTCAGAGTGCTCCTCCCCGTGCCCCATGGCAGCCATTTATTTAGTGATCTCGGTTCTCCGTCGTGGGAAGTAGAGTCTGCGATCAGTACGATCCACGTGAATCTGGGAAAGAAAAATGATGAATAGTCATGTGCTTTTACTAGAATTACTAGTAGTAATAGTCCCTCCTGAGAAGAGCGATGCACTGTGTTCTTGCTGCTGAGAAATGCTGAAGTGACAAACGGTAGGGTACCACTTATATGAGAATATATTGTTTACTGCTTCATTACGGTAGAACCTGGTGAAAAAGGAAAACTTAGCGTATGAAACAGCATCATGTGTCCTGACTCTATAAATTTAACTCACTTCCCTATAAGCAAATTTAGTTGCCTCTTTCCTGACAGTCTAATCCTACCACCAGTATCTAATAGCGTAAAGACCTGCTGGGATGTCTGTCTCTAGTCTTGTCATGAGTAACTGGTTTACTTGAAGTGTAAAAGGAAAACTTGCAGAAGACTCTCTTATTTTCTTATTTATCTTAGTTTTCTTTGTAACAGGCCAAAATTAATCAGGGTCTCATTTGCCTTTCTCGAAACACTAATCTACAAAGTCAGTCATCGTCACAGCTATTCGTTTGTTGGATATGATTGATGTCTTAGCTCGTTAGTAAGATTTCTTTTCCTCCTGTTTATTCACGCTTCCCCAAATGAATCCTCACTGGTGTATTCTGCCTCGGGTATACTTAGCTGATCATTAATTTTATGGTTCTGCTTGCAATTTGTTTGAAAGATACTGTACAGCAGCACATTTCTTTTCACAGTACTTATGTATGTCACTTCACATTGCTCACTACGCCATTTCTCATGGCTGAATGCTTTAATAAACAGCCGCGATTACGTATGTGGCATTTGGCAATATGCTTGGGGTCGACTGTCATTGTAGATATGTTGCATGCAAGTTTCTCAGGGGAAGTCTACTCTTTCTCTTCACAAGCCTATGCCAGTGTGAAGAGTCCTCTTAGGTGTAAATTTTAAAAGCTTGTCCATGAACAGTTCTGCTTATTCCTAGTCATTCCTGTTTTCTGTGTTTGTCACAAATTATTTTCTTGGCGTGAGTATCTTTCAGTGTGATGGGCTGAACCTCTCTGAATCTTGCAAAGAGCTGAGTCCTTAAGCACCCTACTCACCAAAGGTGTTGTGTTCCAGCCAATTTCTTGGCTTTCAGTTTGTGGCTCTGCATATTTCTTTGTTGGCTCCAGTGCTGCGTGGTGAATAAGATTCAGAAACTTGGCTGTTGGTTTAAGAGACACAAATACAAATGAAAGTAAGTACATTTGAAAACCAGTCACCCGTGGGTGTGTGTTAGAATGGGACATCCTAAAGCTGTCCAAGCAATAGCGAGCAAGCCAAGGTTGGAGGCAACCTGTGTGCTTCTGCGAATGATCTTGTAAGAGAATGCAGGGTGACATTTCTACTCAAATTTATCCTGATGAAATGTCAAGATTTGCCTGCCTATATTGTCCTGTTAATTCTGTCATCCCTGTCTACTGTATTGCAGTATCTTAATTTTCTTGTACCACATCTAGCATCAACCAGCTCTCCACGTTAGCTGTTGTCTTTCTCAGTTGCCTGAGACCTGCTGCCTTTCCCTGTTTTGTTTTGGTTTTTTTTCCTCCCCCTAATCCTTGACCAGAGCAGGCCAACCTTAACTGACCGTTAAGTTTTCTAGACAAAATTGGCATGTTAGAAATAAGGGAGCAGTTGCTATAAGGGTTCCTGTTGTTAGTGCTCTAAAGCAAGACTCAGCAGCCATTTCAGCAGTTTATCATGTGGGGTGGCTAAGTAGAATCTGTAATGACAGGCAATGTGTATGTATAAAACATGTTTCTAGATTTTTTTTTTGTTTTCCCCTGAAAGAGGTTTAGATTCTCAAGCAGAATTTTATAGTATGATAACTAAAAACAAAAATAAAAGCATAGTTGCATGAATGCAGGCTTGTACTGATAATGAAAAGTAATGGGAAAGGGCCTTAAAGTGGAAAAAAACCTGCCTTATGTTTCACAGAAATCATGAATGAGTTTAACTTTCTTAACACAGGGATGTTTCCACGTATGTCATCTTTTAGAATAATTGGAATTTTAAAATCTTATTTATTAGTCATTTTCTTACGTAATTATCACAAGCTGTTCAGAGATTTCTTACCATCTGCTGGCTCTTCTATATTATCATGCCAAGACATGGGCTTCTTTGTGATCGTGTGAACTGGGAAGAAATGATGCAGGTGAATTACCTTAATGTGAATTTAGCATCACAGCCGGGTTTAGGATATCTATGGGGTTTTTTGTTATTCCCCGGTCTGGGCCTAGCTACTTCACGGAAGTTGTAAAGGGAGAACAGCATGTGAACAGAACAAAATGAATTAAGAGTACTGACTAATAGCAGCTTCCTAGAAATGGAAGGGGGTTAAGCATGCTAAAGGCCTGGATTTTCTGCTGGATGCTGCTTGCATTCACCACAGCAAAGTTCCACACCACCTAAGCGGTGGCCTGCAGAGTACCAAGTTTCAGGAAATTATTTTCCTTTGGTTTGTGTTGATTTTATTGTAAAAGCTAGACCTGAGTTAATCTATTCACATCACCTGTCCGTGCCAGCACAGATTATGATACTCTATGACTGAGAACTGGCAGGCAGAAATCAGCCCGTGGGCTGAAGAAACATGATGCAGTGTTGGGGCTCTCTACCCCATCTTAGCTCTGCGGTGTTTGCTCAGGATCCGTGGGTTCCAGACCCTAAGCAGTCACCTCACGTCTACGTGTTTACTAAGGCACTGTCTAATCTGGGCAGTTGGTCACGTCTCCGTTCTGTCTTTGCGCAGACTGGTTCCTTAGGTAAAAGAAAAGCCCACCAGTTGCTCCTTCCGGATCTGCCCCTCTCCCTGGCCACTGCTGCCGTTCCTGGGTGCGGCTGCTTGTCTCTGGCGCGCAGCTGAGTGCTGCGGGGCCCTCTCCTGCCCCTGCCTCACGCAGGCCCCACGAGCCTTCCCCTCCGCCCCGCGCCTCGGTGCAAACGCTTCTCTTGCCCTCGGGGTTTCCTGCCCGTGCTCTGTGGCCGTGGGGCCGCCCGCGCGCCGCCTCACCGCGGTGGAGCGGGTTCACGTCGTACTGCGTGTGCAGCCTCTGGCACTGCAGCTCCTTCCGCACCCGCTCGCACAGCAGCTGGTTCTGCCGCACCGGGTCCGGCGGCTCCTTCTCCCCGCTGCGGGCGGCCATGGCTCCGCCGGGCCACGCGGCGTCCCGTGGCCTGGCAACGCCTCACGTGGTCACCCGCGAGGCTGCTGACTGGCCAGGCTGGTGCTCCGTCCCACCCCCTCCCGGACCGATTCCCTTCCCGCCTCCTATTGGCCGCCGAGTTAAATCCCCTGGCGCTGATTGGCGGCGGCTGCACGCGGCGGGTTTGAACGGCCGGCGGCCCCGCGGCGGCGGCGGCAGGATGGAGGACGCGGAGCTGCGCTGCACGGTGGCCGTGGAGCAGCCGCTGCCGGGGGGACAGGCCCCGCGGCGCCGCGTGATGCGGGGCGCGCTGGTGCTGCTGGGCCGCAACGAGCTGCGGCAGCCGGTGCTGCGGGTGGTCGGCAGCGGCGGGG